CAGAGATCTAGCCAGTTTTTTGGCTAAAATTAAATATATCGGTCATGATCGGTACAGTATTTATTATTTAGTACCTGGGCTACCGAGCTTCGCTTGGAGTTTTGGCCTAAAGTACAATTTTCTTTTTTTTTTAAACTAAAATGTTGAATAAATATTTAAAAAAATCAAAAATAAAAACTTTATATGCAACCGGGACTCGAATCGACTTTGTCCGCTTGACCACGATGCTTATGTTCGAGCGTGCAAATTACCGACCATATATTATAATTAAAATATATTAGATATGGATATAATTAACTACAGTTTTGGTTTTATTGTATTTCATGTTTTCAGTTACAATAAAGTTTTTCATTACAATTGTAAGAACGTAATATATAATCCGAAAATTTGTACATATAGTTCTCGTATTTTGAAAAAAATGATAAAGTATCCACAAAATTTTACTTATATTACTTTACATATCTATCTAATATATAAAAATCTCGTGTCACGGTGTTTGTGGTCGCACCCCTCCGAAACGGCTCGACCGATTTTAATGTTTTTTTTTTATATTTGGTAGATATGAGAATATGTCGTAAAGTATTTTTCAACCGTTCTACCCACACCTTCCATTTTTAAATCGCGATTTTAGAGTTTTTTAAAAACAATATTATATAAATACATAGCTGTATAACATAAAGCCAAAGTTTTTTTTGTAGATTGAACGCGGGCGAGCCGCGGGTTCTGCTAGTCTTATTATATATTCTAAAAATGTATCATACTTAATATTATAAATGTGAAAGTGTGTTTGTTTGTTTGTTTTTCCTTTTTTTCACGTCAAAACGGAAAGAGCTATTGGTATGATTTTTGTGTGGAGATAGTTGAAAGGCTAGAGAGTGACATAGGCTACTTTTTACTGCGGGAGATTATCTCATTCTCACGGGAAAACACGTTATAATACAACCCAAAAAAAATTTTACGATCAGAATTACTTGAAACTTGCTATTAATTCTTTTCTATACAATTAAATAAATATATGTTTTAGCATTTTGCGAAATTCATCCTATAACGGGGTAAAATAGGGAATGAAAGTTTGTATGGAACATACCTTTTTAGAGTTTATTTGTAGTTTTAGCGCGAGCGAAGCCGCGGGTTCTGCTAGTTTAATTTATAATAAACAAATTCAACGATACAAACTCAATTAAATTTGAAAGTAGAACGAAGTTTTAAGCCAAAATTTAAGTTGTACAACCAACATATAAGTTGTACAAGTAAACTTCACATATCCTTTAGTATGGAGCTTAAAATTTTGGTAACAAATGAGAGAACAGTTTAAGCACTACCTCGGGCGCTTTCCTTTCACAAACAAGGAAATGTAACTTATGTTGGAGTTGTTTGTTCGATCTATTTATAGAGATGTAGAAAACATTTTGTACACAAGTATCTTGGTATTTATGTTGAATTTTATTTTGTATGAGCAACTTACATTCGCTTTGCTCGAGAGCATCCCTGGATACGTTTTATACAGATAAAAATTATTATTGTGAGCGTACCTTAGGAGACACATGCTATTCCGGACTTTTCTGTAGGTTTTTTAAGACCTACAATTTTCTACATTGCTTTGATGTATCTCTTAAGGTTTAACCAGTTTTAACCATGTTTTCTAAGGACGATTCGACAGAACCAGTTGTTGTTTTCCCGTGGAAAGAGGTTTTCCTATAGTAAAAGATATCCTAAATTTTGACTCGAGTAATGAATTATCACTACGCAAAGTTTAGTTAATATTCATTCAGTACTTTTTGTGTGAAACGTACACAGATATAACACAATAACAGATGTAGTGGATGGTAAAATTCTTTATACAAATTATAAACACAGAATAGGCTAAGACTATTAATCTTATGGTTAATATATTAGGGCAATTTGAAACCCAAATCAAAAGGATGCCAATATATAACCAATGAAATGTTAAGGCCAGCGTCAGCGTTTAATAAAAGAAGAATGAATTATACTGATGATGTTCTCCCGACCGATTTATGACGCGGTGGCCAATCTCGCTGAGATTAGCCATCAGGAGATATTAAAGTGACTAAATGTACGCGCATACACAAGTGCACTCTCTATTCCTGTTACTCGCAAATTCCGATGGGACAAAATTCAACACGACGACGGTGAGAGATCAGATGCAGGACCAACGGCTTAACATTTTCTCTGAGGCACGGGTGGGAAACACTGCCAACTTCCCTAATTCGGACTGTTACTGGGACTGTCTTAACAGAAAGACTCAATAAATAAAATTAGCCCAACCCGGAACTTGAACCCAGAACCTCCGAATGTGCAAGTGTACATACTACGCACTACACCTCCGAGGCAGTTAAAAACAATTCATAATAGTTTACTAGTATATATTATATTTATTTCCAAACTGAGGAGCGCTTAATTTAATCTTTTAAATTAAAGATTTCTTTTAATTTAAAAGAATTTTTAAATTTTATTTCATTTAACTAGAGAGCCTTCTATCCTCTTGCTAATAACTTCATAGGTACGTACATTTTACATATTAAAGTTCAATTTAGTATAGCTCGATCCCGTTCAAAGACCTAAATCAGGTCGTAAGACCCAAGCTATTTCGTTCGGATTACCTACATCACAAGCACGATTTCTACTTTCAATAGCAGCCTTTACTATGGCATATATTCATGAATAATATACAATATGGCACACAATGAAGTAATAACAGATCCAATAAACGAGCTATGTTATCTAATAAAATCCATTACAGGGGTGGAAGCGGGCGAAATTTATAGGATCCCTTTTAAAAATATAGGTTTAGGTGACATGTGATTTACGCGTATGGTACAAAGAAAATAAAAGAATTATTCGTATATCAAAAGACACGTATATCTTGTTGATATATTCGTAACATCAATGCGTTATCGAGGGTACACCGTAAACAACAGTGGAGTGGCATTTCATCATTTTGATCCAACATAAAAAATAATATGTTATTTGCAGATATAATCTGGCCTATGGGATACCAGTTCATAGCATTTTGTACAAAAATAAATTTTTCATTTTAATCAATGATTGTTATTTTTAAAGCTATTAATTAGTATAAATAAACTAATGCCAAAATATTAAAAAGTTAAATATAACTTTATGAAGTGCTTTATTTCCCATAATCAGATGTTTTTGGTGATCAAAAAGAAAACGTTGAATGTACAAGAACATGGGTGTCGAGCGTAGTACCTCCTTATTTTTTAAAGTTGATTAAACACAACAAATAGGTTTATTATTTTTCTGCAGCGCTTGGCTCGCTAGATTCTGTATAAAAAATTAAAAAAATATTGAAAAAAGTGGCCTTAACACCTATTCATTTCAAAGTTTACAAGCTTTCTTACGTTTTGCATTGAAAAAGGACAAAGAAATTTGATTTTCATAACTGAGCCTGAGTTACAATGAACTTCTGTTTATGGAAATAAAAAGAAACATTGAGGGAAAACTAAATTTATTACAAACTCGACCGTCCAAAGTTTTAATCCTATTTGCAATGAGGGTAATGCAAATAGCTTACTTAAAAGTTAATGATGAATATTTCATAGAAGATTTATTTACTTTGTTTAATGGAATAAATACTTACTCAATAAATTATATTTTTTTGATTAAAATAATAAAAATATTTTTTGTTTATTGATAAAAATTAAACATGATTTCGTTTTATAAAAGCAAAAGCAATGCAATTACTAATATGAATGTTATTTTATATTCTAGAAGTATATTAAATAAAAACATGAGAGAAATCTATACGTATAATAGAATTCTGAGTCGAATCTGTACTATTAAATATTTTTTGGAAAATGTTATTGAAATAGACATTATTATCGATACCAAGGCCGAATCTAGAGTTTTTAGAATTTTTGTCTGTCTGTCTGTTACCGCATCACAGAAAAACCAGTAAAGGGATTTTGATGAAATTGGGTATGGTGACAGCTGGTTATCCGGGTCAACATATAGGATACTTTTTACCGCGGGAAAATGTCTCATTTCTGAGAAAAAATACAAAAACTGCAATGTAAGAATATACTAATATATAAAACTTAGAATTTGGTTTCTGGTCATCTGAACGCGGGTGGACAATGCTAGTAAAAAAAAAATTTAGAAAAATTGATTTATTGTATATAAGTAGGCTTTGAGTGAAAGAAAGTAACTAAATAATCAAATGCATTTATTACTATGCATATTTTTATATTGCATAATATTATGTTGTATGAATTGACCAAGTATATATTTGTCCCTAACTTGTTATGTCTAAACGGAGCAATATAAAGTAACACTGAACATGTAGTATCAAAAAGTGAAGAATTATCCATATCTTTTCTATCTAACGCGAAGGAACGTAAAAAATGTGTATATACATTTTTGTTGAGTTTTTGCGAATCGGCTCGCGTGATAGGTACATTGATAAAACAGCCGTTGTACTATCAACAATATAATCTATCTCTATTTCGAATTTTATTCAAATCTGAGGAGCTTAAGTCTTAAGCGTAAGTCGGCAAAACAAACACACAAAATATTCAGTACAAAATGTCACATTTCTAATAACAGCGTTTCCTTGCGGTGCTTTTAAATATGACATCAAGAATCAACGTTATGATTTCCCGTAAATGTCAATTAAGTATGAAAATTGAAGCGAACATTTCATTTTGTTAGAAAAATATACATTTTACTTGTCCAATGTCAACTAATTTTGCAAATATGATGTTTATGAAATAAAAAACTTCGTCAAACATTTTTAAAGAACATACAGTAAACATATCTTTTATAAATATTAGAGTAGAATCACCCTTTTCCTATATTTCGCAAATGCACGTAACCTACTTTTAGAAAGTATGCCTTTTATAGACTTGACAAGTATTGTATTGTGACATTAATCGTAGTTCTAGCCCCATAAGTAGGTCACAACTATAGTACAAAAGGCTAACGTCAGACAATTTTAATCATGCGAAATATTGGTTACTTACCATCTAAATAAACCACAGAGGAGAGGGACTTGTCGTTCTCTACCACGGGCCTTATTGTTTCGTATGATATCGTTGTCAAAAGATTGTCTCTCAAATCTAACACGACGAGACTTCTTATATCTTCGAGAACGTACTCATAAAAAGTTGCTAACTTGTTCCCAGATAGCGTCAACTTTCTCAATTGCGTGAGGCCCCCGAACGCCCGCTCCGATATAAATTCTATAGCATTATTATCTAACATCAATTCTTTCAAACCCCACAACTCACTGAAAGCTAAGTTTCCAATCATATTTATTTTATTATTCCTTAAGTTTAATCGAGAAAGATTCTCCAAACCCTCCAACATTTCTCTAGTTATCACTGATATGTAGTTGTAATCCAATTTAAGTTCGATCAAGTTATTTAAGTGTTTGAAACAACCTTCGTGAAGAAGACTTAAATTATTATTTGACAAATGTAACACATGAAGATTGGGTAAGTTGAAAAAGACATCAATTTTTACTTCTGATATTTGATTATCATCCAAACTCAAGTTTGAAAGCATCATCATTTGCGAAAATGAATGTTTTTCTAAATTCGTTATCTTATTGGATTTCAAAACTATTTGTCGTATAGTCGAGGAATTTGTGAAAGCGTAAGGATAAATTATTTTTATCGTTCCAAATTGTATTGATAAATGTTTTAGCCTGTCGAGTCTCACTATAGCTTTCGCTGGTACAAATGTCAATGCATCGTCAGTACGAACATTAAACATAAGGTGTTCTAATTCAGATTGTGATGAAAAGCTCGGCCATATCGGGTCGTCTTCAGTTAATCCGCCTCCGAATATCCAACAATCAGCTCTTGTCGCCAATTTAGGCTTATTACTGTCGCAGTAGCAGTGGACTTTCGATCTTCTATCCACTATGTCGCAAATGTTGATGAATATTGGCATTTGGTAGTGCCGTCTGTCAATTTTGGGCTTCGTCTCGTTTTTGCTCTCTGTAACTGTCAGCTTGGCAGTCATTACCGATGCTATAATTATAAGGTACTTTATGATTTCTTCCATACTGCTCGTACTATCTGAAACAATAAAGGATGCTATGTTAAAAATATTTAATTTTATTATTTAGTAACGGTATGTTCATTAATATAATGATACAAATATTTTTATAGCAAAGAAAACAAAATAAAAATAAAATAAAGAACCAATAAGACTTAATAATTATGTTATTCCTTATTATCTATTATATTTTCCATTAAAATGAAGAAATTCATCAAGTGTTGATTTGAATTAAAATGGGTAACAAACGTTTACGGCAAATGCAACTTTATATTATGTTTAACTAGAAAAACAAAAACAAATGTATCCCTCGGGAACCGTATCTTTTTCCAGGATAAAAAGTATTCCAGACTATAATCATCTCTGTGCCAAACATCCAGATCCGTTTAGGCGTTCTGGCATGAAAGAGTAACAAATATACATCCATACTCACAAACTTTCACATTTATAATATTAGTTAGTATAGATGAATATTAAACGCCCGATGTACAGTCGGTCCAAGTAAATAATAATACAAAATCAGAGCGGTGTCAAAATATAATATTTTATGCTACGTTAAGACAAAGGCATGCATATTTATAAAATAATAATGATAAAAACACATGTTTAATAATAATATAGAGGTAAACCTAAATGTAAATAATGAAACCAGATTACCCATGTACGTCATACAAAGTTTAAAGACATTTTATTTCTCTAAAGAACACACGTTCACTTATACAGAGATTAAGTACAATATATATAAAGATAATATTAACAGTATTTACACGGTAGCATGCATTATATAATTTTTTGTTACTTTTTCTTATGTAACTTTAATTTGTATAATCATTTCTATATTATGTACATATGTATTATAAAAAGATAATCTTTTTAAAAAAATTATTAATATTATACTAATATTATATATTATATTCATATTTTTTTTTAAATTGAAGACATGCAGTTATAAAATTTTATCTATAACATATGATTTTAACTTATTCTTAAAAGACTTAATATTATTACAATTTTTTAAAGTATCCGGTAGATTATTATATAAAAGTAAACCTTCACACATTATATTTTTATTGCCATAGGATTTCGTTCGAGGCTGCCAAAATTCAAGTTTGTTTTTGTTTCTAAGGTTATGTTTAATATATTTTGGTGTGAATGTTAACGTTGAATGTATACTTTTAGTTACAATTTTTTTAATAATAAGGCATGTGTTGTATGTATATAATTGTTTGATATTAAAGAGTTTGGTTTTTCTGTATAGCTCCGTAGTTGGTGTTAGGTGATTGTAGTGAAATAGAGTTTTTATTAGTTTATTTTGGGCTCGCTGTAACTTGTTTATGTGCGTTTGTGCGGCTGAACCCCATATCTCTATAAGGTAGTCCAGGTGTGGTTTGGCTAGGGCGTTATAAATAGTTGGTTTGATTTTATATGGAATACAGTTTGATATCTTTCGTAATGCTCCCGTAAGTGATGCAAATTTTGATGTTATTTTGTCAATGTGGGAGTTCCATATAAGTTTGTCATCTAGTAATAGGCCTAGGTATTTTTCTTTTTTAGATCTATTTATAGTAATATTATTAATTTTAAGTGGTGTGTAGGTAGGTATTTTTTTATTTTTAGCATAGAAAATCATATAAGATGTTTTAGTTCGTGTTAACTTATCATGTTGAAAGTCTAGATACAGCTTTCAGACTAAACGGATAGCCTGAATAGCCTTAGTAAAAAGCTTTGATGTAACTTTAAGACAGTACACAGAATTAGGAGCCACTATACTCGCTTTTCGTTACAAGCAATGAAATGTATATATCTGATATATATATATATATATATATATATATATATATATATATATATATATATATATATATATATATACAATTTAGGTAAGTGACGTATATAATTTAAGCATGTTATTTACGCAAAAAACGAGTGCATTGTGACTTATTGATACGTACAGCCCAGACGTTTGAATTGAGTACGCGGGTGCGCTCTCTAGACGCCGTCGATCTGATCAATTTACAATAATTGTGCATTTTAAAAAAAGAGTAAAAAGGCAACATGCTTCATTCTATTACCTCAAATAAATATTATAACAGTACAGGTATCGCAGGCACACATATGTTCTAATCGAATCATATTTAAAACTTAAAAGTCTGAGTCTGAATTCGCATCGTGAATGTCATGCTTTAGATTTTTTGACATTATGAACACATTAATTGTTTCATGAAAAGTATTTTTTATGTCACGTCATTGACGTAGATGGTCATTTGATTATAAATTACATGTAATTAGTTTAATCATGACACGTACTTTTTTATGAAGTGTTAGTTATTAATTTCCACTATCACGCAACGCTTGCGAATATTGAAGCTTTTCTTTTTCCAAACTACAAAGTATATTTTTATGAAAAATCTACTAAATAAATCGCTAATAATAATTTATTTTTATGGACAACCATTAAAGTGTCATTTTTAGCGGCAACGAAATAACGAAAAATATGTGAAGTTATTTATCAATATCGATATAGAAATTGACGGTTTTTTTTTATTAAAACCAAAACCATTTTGTAAGTCTCGTTGTTATATGTTATTGACTCACTGAAGTAGGTACTTGGAATATCGAATGTCGGGGGCCCTGGATCTCACTGCCGGCGGCTCTATGCCGGCATCGTGAGGTCCATGGCACTGTACGGTGCCCCCGTTTGGATGGACGCCCTCTCCGCACAGAACAGGGCCCAACTGCGCAAGGCGCAACGGGTTACCGTACTAACTCCAGGCGGAGGTGCTCGCCGAAGTCTATCCGTCATCTCACTGAAGGAGACGGCGGAGAGGGAACGCGAGGCTAACGCCTTAGCAGACCCTCTTCGTCGCCGTCGGCTGGGGGAGAGGAGGCGCCGGTACAAAGGTACTTGGAATATTATATTTTGACGACACGTTTGGCTCAGTTTGTAATGATCTTACTTGCTGTGCCAGCGGTTGCGGGTTAGAATCGCGCTGAGGGCATTCATTTGTGTGATGAGCACGTGTTTGTACTTCAGTCATGAGTGTTTATAATAATATGTAGGTATTTAAAGTTCTATAAATTTAGCATATCAACTATCTGGTATCCATAACACAATCCTCGTAGCTTACCATAGAACTAAATGGTGCTGTGTGTTAATGTCCCAACATATACATATTATACATATCTTGATAACATACTAGCGACTCACCCTCGCTTCGCTCGGTTTCATCCCTAACTTGATTCCCCATAAAACTTTCATCTCCATTTTCACCACCTTAAGAGATGATTTCCGGGATAAAAAATATCCTACATCCTTACCAGGGTCTGAAACTATCTTCATACCAAATTTCATCTAAATCGGTTCAGAAGATCCAGTGATTACCCCGTACAACGTCACAAACAATCTGACAAACTTTACCTCTTTATAATATTAGTATAGATAATATTCCAAGTACCTATATCAGTGCATAACTTATGTGGTGTCTTAAAATTGTGTTTAGTTTTATATGTATAAGATTGAATACATTAAATAGATGGAGTTATTAAAGCACAATTAGTTTATATGAATTTACTCTAGTAGTACTATCACATTAGTAAAAACAATATAACATTTTCCTTATATTTATATATTTATATATATATATATATAGCTTGGCTGTCGTAATCATCGTTGTCTTCATGAAGACATATTAACCTAATTAGGAACTAGAGCTAATTTGTTCCACGTTATGCCGTGACAAACTAATATATTTCATTGTCGGCTTAAAGGATTCCAACTGAAGTCGCTGTTGGAAGTTCACAAGCGGATTAAAAGTTCAGTGGGGATTTGCATTGTTAAAAGTAAATTTTAACGCGGAAAAATGTTCGACGATATTTATGAAAATACAGTGAATTTTAGTTCTCATTTAGTTTTCACAACTGCTAGCCAAAGCTGCTAAACTTTCTCTCGGTACTGTTACGGGCATATAATGTACACGTAAATATAAACTTAAAAAGTATGTACATTTTGTTAATTTGTAGTAATGTTATGCAGATAGGGTTTAAAACCACTTTTTGATGTTAAATTTTTGTTTGTTTTTTACCGTACTTTTATAACTTTTCAACTATTACTTCTGTTTCTAAAATAAAAGTATCCTAAGTTACTCCTTATAACTTATCAGCTATCTACCAGGGAAAGTCCAGTCAAAATCGGTCCATCCGTTTTGGAGATTACCCGGAACAAACAGACAGATAGAAATGTTAAAAATTGAGTTTTTATTATAAGTACTGTATATAATTTAATATGCATTTAATAAAAAGCTGTTATTTTTATATTACAAACAGACACTTCAATTTATTTATCTGTATAGATGAAAAATATTATTTATTTTATTTAGGAATAATATAGCCAGTAGGCAGTAAATAAAAACAAAATATAAAAATAGATTCAGTGAAAATTCATCGTAAAAGTTATAAAAGTGCACCAAAACTACATTAATGGTTTATTTTTTTAACAGCAATATTGACATATTCAGAATAAAATCTATTCCCGCTTGAACTGTCACTATTATGAAACAGAGTATAAAACAAAATAATATTAGTAATAGATAAATAAAATAACATTTTAAACATTTCAACTAATTATTAAAGATAAGAATTAAAGACGGTAAAAGAGTTCCAGGAAGACCTACAAGATGGTCAGAAGTCATTGTGAAGGTGGTTATGTTGGAAGCAGTGGCTCAGGACCGGTACAGTGATGATGATTTATTGATGACATGATTGGCTCAGTTTGTAGTGACCATACTTGCTGTGCCAGCGGTTGCTGGTTCAAGTCCCGCTGGGGGCATTATTTGTGTGATGAGCACAAATGTTTGTACTCAGTCATGTCATTTATAATATGTATGTATTTAAAGTTATATATGTATAGTGTATCAACAATCTGGTATCCATAACACAAGCCTCGTAACAAAATAATGATTAAAATAAACCTATTACTTATAACATATATAGAATACTTATAAACTATG